CAGGCCTTCATTTAGAGACATAATCTGTTTAATAAATATGACTGTAAAAGCAATAAACAATAGCAATTATACATTACGCTACATTGTATTTAACGAAAGGGAAAAAGAATATGAAAAAGTACATCAAAAAAAAGCAATCTTAAAATTAGAAATTGTTCCAACACTATAGGAAAACTTTTTGATCAGCTTACTATAAAAATAAGTTGGCTAATGTCGGACTTTAGTGGGGAGTACTATACAGTTGCTGCCAAAACTTTCCCATCTTTCTTAAAGCTGTAGTTGCAAAGCCATACAAACTGCTGTGTTTCTACCTGTCTTCAGAGAAACTACAGGAAGAGGCAGAGGACTCTACTGTAATTATCTTTTAACTACTAAGGGTCTAATGTTCTTACACTTGGTGTCATTTTTCTTCTTTGCCAGCAAATAGGTTGATTTGGGTTTGTGCCCAATTTGTGACAGAGAAATTCAAACCCACCACCACCACCACCACACCCCTGCCACGGGACTTCAGGCAATGCCAACAATGCTGCTTTCTTCTCGTTTTGACTCAGGTTGCTGTGTGCAGTGTCTGTTGAACAAAACCCACGCATGTCAGGAATCAAGGTGCCTCCTAAGTATGCTACACTCATTATGAACTGGCCTCTATTTGCCTTCACCCAACACAGTTAAGTAAGTGTATGTTGGTTACTGTTTCTCTTTGCACTTCAAACCAAAATCCTGGTTTACCTGAGCTGGGTTGGAAATCAACAGTGGTAATGGCACAGGTTAGGCTTCAGCCCAATATCCAGTGCCTTGAGAGAACTTGTTTGAAGCATGCTAAACCTGCTTTCCTGCTGTTCCCTTGCATAGTCTATATGAACATGTCCTGCAGCCTCACTTCTAGTTGCAGTGTAAGATACAAGCTTAAGTTATTGGTAAGAAATCAAATCTTGTACTAGAGTGGTCCTCTGGTGCTGAGCTCAAAATGCATGGCAATAATCTCAGCCCAAATCCTCCTTTATTCTGTCCGGAATGGCAGGAGCTTGCAGATCTGCAACCAAGGAGGGGTTGCAAAGAAGGCTGTAGGAAACTGTGCATAGACCTTTCCCTGCTCCTTGTTCTGTGGACAAAGTGTCTTTCAAAAAATTGACAGGCCTTGGGGTGACTCCCAAAAGGCAGAGATTTCCTGGGACTTCCCCAGACAAATCCAAACATCAGCACTAAATCCAGCCGAGGGTGTCACTAGGGCTTTCTCTTAGCCAAAAACAAAGGTGTAAGGCTGGTGGTACAAAGTACAGTGTGAGTTCATGCTGGCAATAACCTCCCGCAACAGCAGTATGGACAGACCTTCCTGCCTGTAACGCATGCCAGTTCTGTTCCACTCAAGGTTAGGAGGCAAAAAGTTATCTTTCAATGGTGCTATCAGTGGGATGCCTTGGTGTGAGTGGGCTAAAAAAGCTGTTTAAGAAAGAGCCTGGCCTTGCGGTTGGGATCACCCACACTCGCATTCAGCCTCCTCACAGCCATGAGGCACAGGCAGCAGCTGCAGAAAGAAGAATGAAGGGCAGAGTCCAAACAAAGACAAAACAGATTGACCAAGAGTATTTTCAGTGCCTTTAAACTCCAGTGTGATTTTTTTGTGTGTCCTATGAAAGTCTGCTGGGGCGGCTAGCCCTCCCGCAGCCCAAAGTGCTAAAAGAGCAATTAAATCTAAAGCCAACAACCCTAAACACCCCCCTCCCACCTCCCCCAGCCCTT